ACATAAGTGCACCTCCACCTTTTAAATAGGATATTTACATAAGTGCACCCCACCTTTTAAATAGGATATATACATAAGTGCACCCATCACCTTTTAAATAGGATATTTACATAAGTGCACCTCCACCTTTTAAATAGGATATTTACATAAGTGCACCCCACCTTTTAAATAGGATATTTACATAAATATACTCCACCTTTTAAATAGGATATTTACATAAGTGTACCCCACCTTTTAAATAGGATATTTACATAAGTGCACCCCACCTTTTAAAAGTAATCTACTCTTCTATTAATTGCTTATCTGGCTCTAATATATAATGGTAATACACAGTTTACCAATACTGGCAACGTTATCAGTGTTTGTTGAGGCCGAAATACGGTTTGACCATATTGCTTTCCACCAGTGACGTTTGGCTTTTTGTAATATGTTCTCTGCCAGTATAATTATATAACGTAAAGGACTTAAATGTGGAAATTATTTAAAAAAAAAAGAGTTATATTCATCTTTCTTTATCCTCACTGTTTTAAGTGTACAACTATTAACAATAATAATTTATTCTTTGATCGATGAAGTTCAATTAACTTGACACTGAAAGAACATTGTAAACCAGTAGGACTTTGGTCATAACAGTTGATAGTTTAACTTTCTGTTTTTCTCTTGACTTAAGCATGAAACTGCAAGCTGTTGTTGATGCTGATGGGGCTAGTGACCAAAATGTAAAAGAATTTCTGATAGAAAAAACAGAAAATGGCCAAGAACTGACAAAGGAACAAGAAGATTTTGTGGATGCTTTAAATCGCCAGGTAAGTGAACAATTGTAACTCATATTAACATGATAGTGTCTGATTCGTGTTAACATGATAGTGTATCACTTTTAATTGACAACAGCTTTCAGTAATTCGACATTCAATGGCGATAAACGGATTATAAGAAAACGTTACATTATTCAACAAGTTATTTCTTTACCAGTAGTTTTACTAAAAGTGTTCATCTGCTTAAAGAAAATTTTTTTTAAAAGATCCTATATAATGATACACACGCACATTGTCAAGTAAATTACATATTCAAATAGCTTTAAAAACTAAAATGAATTTGAATAGAAATATACTTTTTTTTCTAGTCTAAACTTGGAACTTATTGTCGTCAAATGAAAGTTTATTTATCATAATTATATTTTATTAAAGGAAATAGACATAAGGTTCACAATCTTGAGTAAATATAGTTTTAGTTTGAAATTTTGTTGGGTTTAAGGTTTTTTGTCAAATTCTATTTAAAAATTGCCAGATCTAAAAAATACTCTCAAATTTTCAATATTAGAAAGAAGACTGAAAATGCAAGTTTTATTCCCATTTAAGGAAAGTAATGTTTCGAAACTATGTTTGTACAGGACCCCTGAAATTACTTAACTGTTTATTCATCCTTTCGCGTTATCTACATATCTATAATACCTTTTGAGCGCATCAATTTGTTTTTTCTAGGAGATTATTAAACGAGAATTAGAAAGCACAAATCAGCAACGAGATTCTTTGAAAGAGGAAGTAGCCATCTTAACAGAAGATGGAGAGAAAGTGCAAAAGTTTTACGAAGAGAGAGACGAACTTTTAGGTATCTTCCCTAACATTATGTTTATTATTCTGATCTTATTGTAAGCCGTTCTTAGACGTGTTTTTATCGACATTAGTAATATTTAATAATATTGCTCTTCACAATTATAGGTTTGTAGACATCCATCTATAGTAAAATGTTAGCGATGTTTTGAAGTTCTTTGTGATTTTCTATCATTGGTGATTTAAAATACTTATTAATTTTGACGACATACATTTGATATTTCTGATTTTTAAAGTCATTTTACCGTTTAAATTAATCTTAAGTTTCAATTAATATCTCTTTCTGGCATTCTATAGCAAAACACACACGTGTAACATAACAACACAAATTTAAATCATAATAACACTATTACATTTGTATTCTTCTTTCAGCCTCTGACAGATATAATAATAGTTAAAAAATCAAAATTATTTCATACAAATAGTGCATTTTTTATATTTATATGTCTTAAATGTAAGCTTTCAAATCGTGTAAACGTTGAAAGTTCCCTTCTGGTGAAAACATATACTTTTTACTATTATTTTTTTAAAATAATAAACCATACACGAGTTAATTCATTTCGTTGTAACAATACAAAAACAATCATAAAAATAAATATAATACATATTTTAGGAAATAACGGTTTCTTCACTTCGTTAAACGGAATTTAAAGCTGTGAACTAACTATTCTCGTTTCTTTACAGTATTAACAAGCTTTACAAAATATAACATTATACAGGGGCTAATTTAAATAGGATTTGAAAACTTTAATAAATTAAAATTCTTAGTGAAGATTCATTTTGGTTTTGAAAATCAGATGGAGGGTGGAAATAGGTGGAATTTCTCTTCGTCACTGCAGGTTAAAATACTATGTCAATTTTGAAACTATTATTAGTTTATTAATCCTCTCTTCATGATATGTGCTTGCTTCTGATATCCACATCTCATTTCTTGTTACATATGACTAGAAGTATGGTCCACTTTCATAATTAAAACAAGAGCAATCAGAGAGATTGCATACCCTCGCTCCACATTTGGTTTCAATGTGCGTCTGAAATTCAGACCTGATCCGATCACTTTTTTACAGTTATTATCATTAAACTGATAAATTGTCATATATCTCCATTATAAAAAAATGTTTCAAAGTGATCCAGAATCGGGATTTGCATCCGGCTTCTGACCACCTTTGGGAAGGATCGTCCTATGGGGACACCCTATCTCTTGTAAAAAAATTCATGTAAATCAATTGATTATTTTTCAAGATACGCACGAGGACATACATACATATGGACCGGGAGCGATGGTAATTGTTTATTATTAATTGTAGTTGTTATTTTAGAACATTTAGCAGCTCTTCTGGTAGAAGTTATTACGTAATCAGTCATGTAGTTTCAATCAAAAATTACTCAAGATTGGTACTATATTTCAATTTATATTTTTGTTTTACCAGATCAAATCATTGTAATTTAATGAGGGTAGCTCAAGGCTAAATAATTCAGTATGCTTATTAACGTTATCGTGTTATATAGCTTTATATGTTTGTCCATTTTTTCAGACAGCATATTTGGAGGGGATTACGGTAGTGACCTAGAAAATCGGCTTGAGAAAGAAGTGGACCTTCTCAAGGAACAAAAAAATCACATGAACCAGGCTCACTTCAAATGGCGACAAGGACACATGATGATCAAGCAAGCTGCCATCCAGCTAGGATTAGGTGTTCAGAAATGGAAGGAAATACCGGAAATACCTACAGAGTAAAGAGCCACTCTCATCTATTATCTTTTTTTTTTTTAGATGTACTGTCCTTTTCTTAGATAGAATTCTTTTTCTAATATTTATAGACGTATAACGTACTAAAATCCCAATAAATATCTTTAGTTTCTTTGTTAAACTAATAGAAAACAATTAAACTTTGCTTTAAGCAAAGTCTCTTGGTAAATAATTAAGAAGGTAAGATTGCTAAAAAAAAAGGCAAATATCTAATACTCACTTTGATATTAGCCTGACATTGGACCTTAACGATACCGGCAAATATCTAATACTGTCATAGACGTTCTTACAAACCTTGCATATATAAAATCGAGAAATAAGCAATCACGGAAATTCAGAAACATATCACGGTATTTTAGTGTTTCTTTTTAGTTCGCCTTAAAACAAATATATTGTCGGGGCTTTAAGATTTTTTTTTCCTTTATCACAAAGCACTTACAGACTGTGTGTGTACTGTTTACATATATATATATAATAAAATGATTAAATACATAGTTTAGTGTCATATGTATATCATAAATATTTCCATCACATAGCCTTTGTTTCACAAACTTCTTCTTCTGAAGAAATGTTTTATACATTCCCAACTGCATACTCATTTTTATCTTCACTAAACACCCCTTTAGTTCTTTACATGTTAAGAATTTTATACTTAATTTTAGAAGTTTCATCTAGAAGCTGTTTACATTACTTTGAGTTATTATTTGTTCAGCATAAAACCCTGAATTTGTACCTTATGTTCTCTAGTTAATGGTATCATTAAGGTCCAATGTCAGGCTAATATCAAAGTGGAAGATAAATTTACTCTATGTTGATATATTTGAATAGTGAGCTTGAAAAGCGATATTATTGTGCCGCTGAAGCCAGGAACAATCTGGTCGCCGCCAGCCAGAATCTGCAAGGAGCTCACCGGTACCTTCCTAACGTCATTTTTCCGTATTGTGCTCACGAAGAAGTGGAAACACTCAATAAGGTCTGCCACTCAATCGTTCTGGCTGTACCTACGTCCTCTACCGTATTTCTTTTAATGTTTATAATGTTTGAAATCCAGTATTAATATCCGTTTTTAAACACGTTTTCTTAGTTTATTTATGCACCAAATTACTGATACACAACTAACTACCGATATATATATAGGCCCATGGCTTTTTTGGTTATAGGGTTCCTACTAACAGATGAATCACAAAACATTAACAGAAATACTATCAATTTATCTCGCTAAATACTATAAGGATACTTTATATGTTTTCCCTAGGAAATGTTTCATCAAGTTTATTGGTAAGTTCTTTGTATTGATATTTAAAGGTAAAGCATAAAGTTACTCAATATTATGTAACATGTGGACCACATCGATGGTGAACGACACAGAAACAAGTCGATAATTTCAGAATTGCTGTTTTGTAGCAATACAGTACAAACGTCTGTAAACAATATGAACTGTTGTTAACTTTTGTTTGTAATTAAGCACAAAGCTACACAATCGGCTATCTGTGCTCTGCCCACCACGAGTATCGAAACCTGGTTTCTAGCGTTGTAAGTCCACTGACATGCCGCTGTGCCGCTAGGGGGTTATAGTTAATTCTTCCACTGCATTAACCTTTTATTTAATACAAACACAAAATCTACTGCTCAATAATAGTGTTTTTAATTTTATGTGAAAGGTCTATATTTACACTGTGATTGATTAGAAACTAAATTCTTAGAAATAGGAGAATTTTTAACAATAATGTAAGATGTTATTTTGAGAGCTTAAATTGAAGGTTAAAATATTATTTTATGATTTATCCCCAAATCATCGCCCAGTATTATGTTTCCGGTTTATTAGTTAAAAATGAAATATCTCCTTTGTTTCGATCATCACCCAGCATTATGTTTCCAGTTTATTAGTTAAAAATAAAATATTTCCTTTGTTTTGACCATCACCTAGTATTATGTTTCCGGTTTATAGGTTAAAAATGAAATATCTCCTTTGTTTCGATCATCACCCAGTATTATGTTTCCGGTTTATTAGTTAAAAATAAATATTTCATTTGTTTTAACCATCACCCAGTATTATGGGTTTATTAGTTTAAAATATTTTCTTTGTTTTAACTATCACCCAATATTATGTTTCCAGTTTATAAGTTAAAAATGAAATATCTCCTTTGTTTCGATCATCACCCAGCATTATGTTTCCGGTTTATAAGCTAAAAATGAAATATTTCCTTTGTTTCGACCATCACCCAGTATTAGTTAAATTTAAAATATTTCCTTTGTTTTGAGAAAATTTGTTGTTTTGTACTCCTTTACTGATCATGATTATGGATTTTTCTAGAAGCTATGCGTAGAACAGAATATTTAATTTTTTTTTATTCTAGGCACTTCATCAACCTGTTTTAGTATAAGAATCTGATTTATACAGGTCATTGTAGTGCCACTTATATGGGAGAAATTTGAATTTTACGCATATTGCATTTACATGTAAAGTTAATCCTCCGTTGAAGTCTTTTACAGCAGTTCTAATTTTGTGTTGTTGTTTTTTAGGCTATTACGTATATTTTTACGGATATGCAAACTACGGAACGACATGAGCATGCAATGTCATGTTATCACGTCATCTATCGGCGATCAGGTGCTCTACGTCAATGGTTTGAACAGGTGAGGAATAATAAAAACCTTTAAGTAAAGCTCCACTTTGAATATCTAACAGAATTTATAGCACGAGATTTTCCTTCCCATTAAGTTGTACTCATTTGGCTGTCTTATATTAAGAAACATTTTAGAATTGAAAAAAAAAATGAAACTATCAATGTCATTGTTAACATTAAAGGTACGCATATCCATAGACAACCAAACTAGGGTATAGAAAGAACTATCACTATTATAATTATTGTTAGATTAATGTTAGATTAATAAATGAAACTATCAATGTCATTGTTAACATTAAAGGTACGCATATCCATAGACAACCAAACTAGGGTATAGAAAGAACTATCACTATTATAAGTATTGTTAGATTAAGGCTCAGTTTATTTCAAAAACATACTTATAGGGGTTTTTTTTTCTTTTAGTTGAGATTAAAGGTAATATTTGATTTCACGAAATGTGCCGAACATTTCAGTCTAAATTTAGTATTTGTTTGTAGTTAAATACAAAGCTACACAATGGACTATCTAAGCTCTGTCCACCAAGGGTATCGAAACCCGGTTTCTGGCGTTGTAAGTCCGCAAATATACCGCTGTGCCACTGGGCGGCTAAGTTTAGTATTAATCACGCTATTCCTCTGCTATATAGCTAAATATCTAAAGTGAAATTTAATTTATTGATTTCTGTTTAAATATGTGGTTGCGCATTGAAACAATTAATACTATCTATCTAATCCCATGTTATTAACTAAAGCAATTTGTTTATGAACTAAAACAATTATCAGTATTTTACTGGTAAATATAAATAAGTCATCTTTCGCTACCAGAGGACGCTTTCAAACATTTGCATGTTTCGAAATTTCTTTACACAGGTATTAAACACGACCATCGCCCAAGATTTGTCTCGATTAACAGAAGAATGCAAGTTAAAGTCTCTTGAGCTACGCCGAGAGCGTATTCGACTCATCGGGGAGAGAATCAAAGCGATGACGGGCAAAGACATTGACTTTGTACTTGGTAAATAAAGACAATTTTCCATAAAATTTGCCTAACTTTTCAAAACACCAAAAATTTAGTACTAAATATGCTTTTAGATATTTATTATATTAACAATCTAATTGAGCCTATAAGAATATTAGCATCTTATCTTCTAATCAGTATAGATGGTTTGAGTGAAAAGAAAATGTCAAACAAAGCAAATAATCAGCATTGTGCTAATTTGACAAGTCGTATTTTTTATGAATCCAATCATATATGTACTTAATACTGTATTCATTCACTTATAAGAAGCTTAAACGACGATTCATTTTAATCCATAGCAGATGTTTTATATGTTTTGTTAAACTATTTCTAACTAGAATAACGATGTATCATTAACCATGATGTTTGTGTAAAAGTTGCATACGAGTTTGGAGAAATTAGTTAAACTATTCATAACTAGAATAACTGTGTAAAAGTTGCATACGAGTTTGGAGAAATTAGTTAAACTATTCTTAACCAGAATAACGATGTATTATTAACCGCGATGTCTGAGTACAAGTTGTACACGAGTTTGGATAAACTAGCTAAACTATTCATAACCAGAATAACGATGTATTATTAACCGCGATGTCTGTGTACAAGTTGTATACGAGTTTAGGGAAAAACGTTTTTTCTTAATTCAGTTTATACAAGTACGTTGCAATGTACGTAAGGTAGTAGAGGGTTTTAAGAGAACCTCCTAGGTCATAAGGTTCTGCCAATAAATGTTTTGCTTTCTAGAAGAAAAAAAAACTCATGGGAAAGATAGCACCTGTCTTATACATGTTATGATGATTTCAAAGCTTCAAGAAAGTTTTCAGCAAACAAATAAAAAAAATCCCGATTTAAACTTTAGCTTTAAAACAAAATTGTAAAGTTATTCAAAAGGTGAATTTGTGTGTTCTTATTTTGACATATTTAGCACCTGAATGTTTAGAGAGGATATGCTACATGGTACATCTAATAAAATAATTCGTAAGATATCCGTAAAGCCGTCGTCTAATTACCATCCTCTTCAAACACGTTGTCGGTATAAATCGCTCTGTGAACGAGCGATTTTTTCTTCTCTTACTTCTCAAACGACGTGCTCTGTAAGTTTCAGAAAATCAGTAAAGGATGATAAACTCAGTTTTAATAGTTAGCTTATTTCAGTATTTTTTGTATGTTTACATTTCGGCGATCACATCATTTTCTGAACGAAGATACGACCACAGCGAAACAAAAGCTAACGTTTCACCAAACACTTAACAATTTCACAAACCTATTTCATAATTCTTGTTTCTGGAATGAATGACAGTGAGAAGTGAACCAATTCTTCTTAGCCTCCATTTTATTACTTCTGAAAAATCCTAGAAACTAAAGTTTTCTATGTCAGCTTTATATTAACATCAACAAATCAGTGTAGTTTTAATCTTGCTTAGATCATTTGGAAACCTAGGTGAGTTAAACTAAACCTAGATAGAGTTAAACTAAAAACACATAATTTTTTCTTTAGCTTTTCTATAAGTACAAGCTATTTTCAAGCAAATTTTTAATTGTTCATAAACAGTTTTTGAATTTCTTTCTGCCAGATCCTGATTACTATCGTGATACCGATTTGATTCCACGTTATTGTAGAGTTAGTAACTACTAGAATTCTATTATTTGACGTATGCTATTCTCCTAGTGCCTAGTTTTTGTATATTCAACCAACCTTTGTCTATAAATCACAAGCCCCAAGCATACATACATATATATATATATATATATATATGCGTTTAAGGTAATACCGCATGAGAAACAGGGAATATGATAGTCACGCAATATAGAACTATAGACACGCATTCAAGCAATCTTAAATGATAATAAAAGTTTGTCTCGTATTAGGAAGCATTTCATGACAGCCTGTATATGTATTTCTGACTCTGTGTATACAGGGTTGGAACAAAGAAAGTTTGAGAATGAACGTATGTATGGTAAGAGAGAAATACAGAATCTATAATTTAGTCACTTGATACAGATGTATAAAAACATACGCCCAACACATTTATTAGAAAATAGAATAAGACGACCATAGATAGTGCTGTAAGGTGACCTTAAAAACGTATTTACTTATTATGTGATATCATCAGAAACTGCATTTAAAAACATGAGTTTGATCTAAAAGCTCATTCGTTAATTCATCAATGTTTAACACGAGCACAAAATCGTATCGAACTTTATTTGACGCACGACACTGAATACACGCTTCGTGCTGCTGTTTATCGTTAACCTGCCCCCAGTGGCTCAACGGCAAGTGTGAAGACTTATAACCCTAAAAACGAGGTTTCGATACCCGTGGTGGGCACAGCTTTCTCATTGTGTAGTTTTGTGTTTAACAATAAAACAAACAAATAAACAAACTATTACAAACCAACCTCGACTAAATTCTGTTGTTGAAATGGACAAAGAGCATATTGAATATTTTATACGACCCGCATTGACGTTATTCTGATCATAGTATGAAATAACATTTACTGTATTTATATGACCCGCATTGACGTTATTCTGATCATAGTATGAAATAACATTTACTGTATTTATACGACCCGCATTGACGTTATTCTGATCATAGTATGAAATAACATTTACTGTATTTATACGACCCGCATTGACGTTATTCTGATCATAGTATGAAATAACATTTACTGTATTTATACGACCCGCATTGACGTTATTCTGATCATAGTATGAAATAACATTTACTGTATTTATACGAC